CGCTCGAAACAAGACTTGTTTAAGACACCGCGACAGAATTTACAACATACGTTGTTCTGTTCATGATCAGGTGCACTCTCTACATTGGAATTATTGTCAATTAGGTGAATTAGGGATTTGATTAGACTACTTTCAGTTACTTCCTTATTTTGCGCATATTGTTAGCCTCAGTTTTGGACAAAATGATGGCAGTTGTCGGGAGGAGCAGGTGTCAGCTCATTCAGCACTTTCCCAAGAACATGGTCGGAGGGTAGGAGTAGATAGCATGAAGCATCATCTGGGCGAGTTTACTAGAAAGTGCCCTGGTTCCAGAAAAAGCAACGGTATGCTAGTAGGAGATACCGGTTAATGGTTTCTGTCTCTGTAACGACCTATAGTACCTCCCTCACGCCCTTTCTACGTAAAAGGAATGACTCGTTTCTGGGCTCTCCTGATTCATGCGAAGAAAAATGGACTCTCCGTAATGATTGGCCGCGTTCTGTTCAGTGATCAGACCCCATCGAGAAACATCACACTGTAGTTTGGCTGTCTTTCACAGGATGATTTCCCAGTATTTCTGGAACCGGTTATATCTATTGCAACGCCAGTGTCAGTCAAGCATATGGACTAGATGTGCCAGAAGGGGCAAGGTCTGGGGTCAATAGAAGAAGACCAATTTTTTTCCTTGATTGCATACGGCCACATGTGCGCGAACAACACTGCAAATGTCGTGCAATATCGACTACAAAACCTTCTCTCACCTATTGATGAAAGCGTCTCTCGCCCACCGATTTCACTTTTTTGATCATCTTGAGAGCTTCACGAATGAGAAACGCTTCAAAAGCCAAAGGCTGATATCAGGCTGCGGGTCCAGCGAATCGCTAGCGAACAAACCATCGGCTAACCAGGTTGAGGACGACTTTCATTGCCTCTTGAAATTTTGTGCTTGATGCCGGGGAAATAAATCAGCTTGAATTTTGTTGACAAAAATGTGAGTCTCCCTTTTTCTTGGAGTTTTCAAAGCCTTTATAGAAGAGCTTATTTCTTTACATTAGGGAGCGAGCCAGTGTCGTGCGCGAGACTGGATACTTTCACAGAGATAGAGGGTGTTGATTTGATTATTATTTGGCATGATTTTTTTTATCATTATTATATATTATTATTATGGGGCATGTATGATTTATCTCAACTTAAGACCGACGTCATAGTCGGCGACGGACCAAGCGATGGAGCGATCGCGATCGCTCCATCGCTTGTCCGTCGCTTGCCAATCGCTCTCGGTCGAGCGATTGGCAAGCGATTGCGCAATGTGCACAAGCGACGGGCGATTGGCCCCGCCCCCAGTCAATGCAGTCGGCTGCGGTATCGATCGAGCAGAGCCATTGCCCGTCGCTTGTGCACTTTGCAAGCGATTGCGCAATCGCTTGCCAATCGCTCGACCAAGAGCGATTGGCAAGCGACGGACAAGCGATGGAGCGATCGCGATCGCTCCATCGCTTGTCCGTCGCCGACTATGACGTCGGTCTAAGGATTGCCCAATCATTGTGCAATTCCTATTGTTGATGCACCTTTGTTCTTATTGTGAATTATTGTTTGCCGGAGATTTATTCTGTAATATCATAACCGCAGTTCTGATTCAACTGTATGTTTTGCAGATGGAGGTCGACACTGCCACTGATGATTCTGCTTCTCAAGCATCGAACACATCGGCCTCCTCCATGGCCATACAATATTCTGTTGATGAGCTACAAGAAAATGGTACAGCGTTTTCTGATCCAAATGCTGAAGCTGTGAGGAATGACGGGCGAAAGATGAGGAAGTCTAACAGGCGTTGCTGAGCTCTCGCCAACTCAGGCTTCCAAGAACGAACCGCCTTCACTGGACAGTTGACGTGACGTTCCACAGAGGAGGTGAGAATTCTTGGTCATGACTCTACCAGTTTTTGACTGCTCTGGCATACTCATTTTTTCCAGGATAAATTGGGAAATATGTCGTGGTTCAAGAAGAAGTTCCCATCTGTCAAGACAGATGTAGCAAAGACGGAAAACACGTGGGGTTGAGCTATACATAATAAAAGGCAGTTGACGATAGTTCGCAGTAGCTTACAGTTTATGTTTCAGAGCTGTGCATCTACCAGCTAATGTTCCACCTAGCAGTGAGTTCCATGTGCTTCTTATACTTATTTGCGAGGCATTCAGTTTCAAGGGCAGAAATTTTATATTTCAGTAGCTAAGCAAAAATGCCTCAAGCAGTCTCTCGAAAAGAAGTTAGCTGAGAGAAGAAGGATCGGGCTTGCAAAACGCAAGGAATTGTATATGGAGGACAACGAGGGGCTTATTGAAGACGAGGAGGAAGAGGAAATTGATGATGGCAACGATGCACAGTCGTCACAGAAAAAGAAGTGAGTTTTTTTTGGAATTTTTGCTTTTTAGCATTAAGTGTTAATTCGAAATATGTCTCTTCAAACATCTCTTCCCAGGAAGGAAGAAGAACCAGAGGACAGCGATGATGACTACAGTGCTGATGACGAGGAAGAAGGAAAGGAAACTGACACAGAAAGCTCACAAAACAGTGAAATGGTTGATGAAGATGAAGAACAAAAGGTGGAACCACATGACCGTGCAATTTAGCATTTCCATCGAAGTTCTCGAAGTTTCTTTCCTTATAGAAAAGCGGAGCCGTCGACGACTTGCCGGAATCGGTTGACTTATTCGATGGTGTATCTGTAGCGGGTAGCACTGTGAAGGACAGTCAAAGGCTCCATGATGTATGGGTGTGCTTCTTTTCTCCTCTTGTTTCCTCGTAATCGTGTTTCGTAACTCTATATATTCACACTCTTCTTTGTAGGATGAACCGATTTCTTCTCATCATCGTTCGCATATCAACGACAAGGTCCAGGTAAGCTTGTCTTTATTGTACTGTTTTGTGTTGTGTGTAGTGTTCAAAGAATCAGATAAGAGTAAGGAAAGGTTGCGGTATAAGGGCTGTACATGAACGGGAAAGATCGATAGCGAAAAGAGTAGAGATGTTCATGTGGACGATAGGAGGCGCGTTCGCGACAGAAGCGTGCCATCGCCGGCGTGACAAGGTGGCGAATGTACCTCGGGGGCCCTTTCACATCCCTCGCCCCCCCCCCCCTCCCTCCTGCCCAAGCAGCAGCTGCTTATTCATCGTCATGAAATGTGTCAGTGTTCAAGTTAGCTCAAATGACCTCTGACCTATGCTAGCTGTGAAATCGCCCGCTACCGAAATGAAAACTCAGCTCCCAGCTGGCTAAGGGGTAACACGTTACAATTATTTCAGCCGTTTCTTCACCGGTGTACCTTTTTGGCCCCCTTTCGTCTTTCATCAGAATCTTGTTGCCATTATTGCCTTTAATCTTTGTCATTTTTAGTGTCTGTCTGGACAGCCACTTCATCCAGTAGATGTGAGTTTTGCTTCCCTCTCTATTGCTCGACTTATTTTCTTGGCTCTCTACAAATTATTTTTGTTGTCATACAAGGTTTCCGTAAAAACTCATTTTGTCTGCCACGTCGGACGACTTCAAGGGAAGGCAGTAAGTTAAGGAAGGTTCTCGTTAAGGGCGGAAAGGGCAAGCGTACATGGTTGCTATGGCGTGAAGTTGATACTTGACAAATAGGGACACAGTGATTTTAATGTGGGTATTAGGACCTGTATGAAAATGGCAGTCCCATTGCACGACCGTTCAATCGATCTTTTACTGTAAGCCGGGGATGGATCTCCAAAGTTGGTGAACCAGGGCCTCAGAAACTAGCTGTGAATCGTCCAAAGTCACCGGGCAGGATAATGA